ATTTTTTTCACAATTTTTTGTGCCTTAAAGGGAATGATTTGCTTAAGGGAGATTGCCCATTCTCGATTCAAAGACGAAAAGAAAAATTTAGCCACACTTCTACCAGTGTATTGCAACATCATTGGATTGCTTCCTACAACTCTTTAGAAAATTGGGATATGGCCCCCTAACACCTAAAACTTCCCACACCCCTGCTTTACACACCCACTAAAGACCTGTCTCTTATATATGAACATTTGGATGAACTGCTCCACTCATCCCTTTTTCTCGTGAATATGTATAAATTATTTTAATATTTGCATTTTAATAATTTTGTAGATTGCTTTGCAAGACTTTGTAGAAAGTGGTACAGTAAATTAATAATTAGAATGTTGCTATAAGATGGCAGTAAAAGTAAAACCAAGCTACTAAATTATGCAAGATAGTTAAAAACAAAGACAAATTGTTGTTTTTAGTTGCACTACCATTCCCCAAAACTGCAACTAAAAAAAAAAGAACTGCAAAATAATACAAAGCAGTTAAAATGCAAATTTGTTTGTAGCATTTAAAAAGCAGTAATAGCCATTATGCCATGAAAACCATTCAAAATGCCTAACTGGATAATACCATTATTAGAACCAACCCAACTTGCAAGTGCTACAGATTTCTTTCACTTGGCAAGATGTTTAAAAAAACGAGAAGATAAAGCGGTGATGGCAAACCTTTTAGAGAGTGCCTAAACTGCAACCCAAAACCCACTTGTTTACCAAAAAGTGCCAAACATGCCAATTTAACCTGAATACTGAGGTTTTACTACCTAAAATAATGATAAACAAGGCAGAGTTCAGCTAATTGTTCTAAGAAAAACTTGATAAATGTACTTTTATGTCCCTTCATTTTTTTCTGCCTTTGAAATATTATTTAGCAACAATAAAAAAGAAAAAATTTTGTAATATCATTTCTCTTTCCCTCCTTCTCTTTCCCTCCCTCCCTCTCTTTCCCTCCTTCTCTCTCTTTCTCTCTCTCCGTTCCCCTTTCTCTCTTTCTTCCCCCTCTCTTTGTCTCTCTACCCCTTTCCCTCCCCCACTCTTTTCTTCCCTCTGTCTGTTTCTGTCTTTCCCTCCCTCCCTCTCTTTCCCTCCTTCTCTCTCTTCCCCCTCTTTCCCTCCCTTTCCCCCTCTCTCTTTCCCCCTCTCTTTCTCTCTGTTTCTTTACCTCTCTCTCTTTTCCTCCCTCCCCCACTCTCTTCCCTGGTGTGGGGAGGGGGAAAGGAACCCCTGAACTGGTGCTGGGTGGTGAGAATCTGACAACCAGAGCCCAACGAGCCAGGCAGGGCATCTCAACTCTGGCAGCTCTGCAGGAAGCACACGAGTGAAAAAGTTCACTCAATCAATTCCAACTTTGCAAAATCTTTTTCTTTCGTGAGAAGTCGGAATTGATTGAGTGAACATTTTTTTAGTCTCAAAAACTTTGTTTCCCTGCAAACGATGGTGAGAAACACAACAGAGAAACGCAATGGTGCTGGGCTGGGGTGACAGCACATGTGCTCACAGAGAGGCTCTATGTGCCACCTCTGGCATACGTGCCATAGGTTCACCACCACTGAGATGAAGAAACAAGAACTTAGGTTACATTTTTCAGCCATGATCTCTGCATTCAAAAAGCCTTACAGGTTGCAAGCCACCATCAGTTGATAGACCCTGTGCTGTCCCAGCCAGTCTATGGGAATTGGATAGTTACTTAGGAATTATGAGCTGTCCCCTTAAGGGAATGCATCATGGTAAATGTAGTTAAAGGTATCCTGGGAAATGTAGTTCATGCCACGTGGCCACATCTGTAATCCCGATTGGTCACTAATTTGACCCTCGATGGGTTGGGGGAGTTTTCCTCACTATTGCTTGAACTCCCTAACTCATGGGAGCTGCTTTCTATCGCTACGAGATGGGTTAGGAGATAACCATCTTTTACTTTTCTGCCTCCTGTACAGAGGTAGATTTGTAAACTGTGCAGATGCAGATAGATAACTCAACAAAATGTCCATAACAAAGTGCATTTATTGGATCATCAGGTATCTTCATAACTCATGTTTGTGATGAAGTTCTTCTTTAATGACCAATCCTTTGTATATCTGCCTTGTAGTAAAAGATGGTTATCTCCTAACCCATCTTGTAGCGATAAAAAGCAGCTTCCGTGAATTAGGGAGTTCAGGCAAAAGTGAGGGAAACTCCCCCAACCCATCCAGGGTCAAATTAGTGACCAATCGGGATTACAGATGTGGCCACGTGGCATGAACTACATTTCCCAGGATACCTTTAACTACATTTACCATGATGCATTCCCTTAAGGGGACAGCTCATAATTCCTAAGTAACTATCCAATTCCCATAAACTGGCTGGGACAGCACACCCCCAGTGCTCAGAAACAAGCAAAGAAAAAGCTGGTCTTTCTTGCTCTAACAAAAGCAATTTAGCCTCTAATCTGCCTCCTACCATGGCAAGTCATGTCACATCGCAGAAATAAAGAAGCATTACAGTCTTTACAAAAGCTGAAAGTAATGTTGATGAACCAATAGATAAATATTAAACCAAATTCATTTTATCTCTAACTCAATTGACTAGAATAACAAAAAGAGTGCAAAGGAAGCGTCTTTTTAATTGCTCTCATCTTCCTCCCACCAACCCTTTGGGGACTTTGTTTTTTGTATATTTTGGGGAGTTTAATGGATGTAATGTATGACAAATTTTGCAGGTCATTTAGACAACTCATTTTACCCCTAAAAACCCCAGTGTTCCTTTTTTGGGAGCAATTCTCAATATTTCACAGAAAGCTTATTGACACCACTCTGGAGAACCTTCAGTGTGCTCGAATTTGTACATTCAAATCCAAATGATAACTCAGCCCCAAATAGCAATAGAACTTAATTTATATACCACTTCACATATATACCACGCCACTTTACCTCTCTAGGCGGTTTACATAGTCAGCATATTGCCCCCAATAATCTGGGACTTCATTTTACTGACCTCGGAAGGATGGAAGGCTGAGTCAACCTTGAGCCAGTAGGATTGAACTCCTGGCACAGAGAAGTGTCAGCCTGCAATGCAGCATTCTAAATACTGCACTACCACGGCTCACAAAAATTCACTCATAAAAGATGTTAGTTAATTCATTTCCTAAAAATATAGGGGGGAGGAACTATTGCATCATTCTTAATATCTACTTTATAAAAGGCCTTGAGTTACTTTTCTCATTCAGTGTACCAGTAGAGTGCATTGGTTGGTAGCCTAGGTGCTGCCTGCTGTTGCGCAAATGCTTCTGGACATTCTGAAGTTAAGGATCACAACAATAAATTGAAGAACTACTGTACTGACTTGGGGTTATATTCAGAGGTGATGTAACTGCCTTTTATAATGCTCTAGTTCATGGATGACAAACTTGCAGCGTCACGTTGCCATCACGTGATGTTTCGCGTCGTTATTCCCCTTTGCAGAGCTGGGACGGGAGTGGGCCACATATTGACACCCTTGCTCTAGTTAATTGCAAAAATATACTTTGTTATAAAAACATATCAGCGAATGGCTTGTGTTAGGAAATTCATTTACTGCAAAATTGGGAAATTAATTAAATCATGTCCTAACACAATTAAATTGTTTATTTTATTTTTGACAATTAAATCAAGATTTAAATCTTAGCCAATATCTTCCACACAGAAAAGAACAAGCTGCTAATTAATGGAACTTATTTTATGAATATTACAATCTGTTTCTAAATTATGTAATACTTTGCTTTTATATGATTTTAATTCTTAATCTTCTTTAATCTTCAGGAATTAGAAGCAATAACATTTATTTTTATTGTTATATTTTTACCTAGAAAATTTCCATACAATAGCACTCTAGGACATACATTGTTTGCAAATATTCCAATAATAAATACGTCAGTAGAAATTTCTGGTGAGAGTTAGCTATTTTTTATTTCAGCTGTAGCTCTTAAATAACCAGTGAATACAAGAGTAGCACAGACATTATTACCGCACATATTCTTTGGTTCTTAGCTATAATCTGATGTCTATTATTCTCCTTCTAATCAAAATGGGGGGAAAGGAGCATTTTACTTTGTAATAAATAAATGAATACTTAAATGTGCTTATAATTATCAATTCTTCATAATCTCGCTATACTGTCTCTGCCCTCCTGATCAAATGCTTCAACGATGTTAATAACAACATGAAATTGAAATTCAGTTGAACTTAAATGTAGGTATGTAGGCATGAAACTATCATATTAGTTGCTCAGATACATTGACTAACTGATACTTTCTCAGAAATATATGAATAACATTGTAAAAAATTAATATTCATGAGAATGTGTGCCAATTTTTTAAATCCATCTGAATGCAATAGTTTAGAGTCAACATTATAATCAAATTAAACAGAATATAAACAGCAACTTATCTTAGACATCTTTGTGTGATTTCTGAAGTCACAATTTCTTTTCAAAAGTAGTTATTTCAAAAGGATAGTCAATGATAAATCAGCAAATGTCATTATGTTTTGTCCCTAGATAATTAATTTGTTTTGTAGAAAGCAAGTAAAATAACCCAAAGAAGGAAGGAATTGATCCATGAATACTATATTTTTAAACTAATTTATGCTAACTTTGTTGTTGTTGCTGCTGCTGCTGTTGCCAAAAAACAAGATGCAAAACTTTCACCACATATAGCAAGCTTTAAATAAATTTACTTTGGATTTTTAAAAAATAAAATGAAGCTTTACTCCATAGCAGCTCCCCCCACTCCCCCCCCCCAAGAGCCATAATTCATGGGGAACCTGCTTTCTTTCCTCTCAACTTTCATTCCTCTCCAGTAAATGCTGGGAAGATGGGGGATGGAGAGAAGAGGTAATTTTAATCTCTGATTTCAACTTCAGTGTATAAATCATACCACTAATAAGATATATAGCCTGCACCTATGTACAACATAATTTGTCTGAGGAAACAACTGGAATAAATTTTTGAAATTACCAAACGCTTGGAGAATTCTTTATTTTCTGAAAGGAATCCATATCCTGGGTGAACCTTAACAAAATAAAAGATAAAATTAAAATTTTTAATGCCAGGCATGCAGAAGCTTAATTTGAACAATATACATTCAGTTTTTACTTCATATTAGATTAATTTATTCTGCTGAATCATTTCTTTTGAAATTCATTGTGAAAAAAAATATCTATTTGAAATGTTTGCACTAATTACATTTTAAAAAAATTCAATTCATCTACCATATCTAGCACTTTTAGGCCCAATTTACATATGTGGCACCTTTAAAAAAATAAGCAAAAAGCATATCACTTTACTTAAAATTACATAATAAAGCAGGTCACCCAACATTACATGATCTGTGTGATCTGCAGGTCACACATTTTTTATTTAATTCTCTGCGTGTAAGTGGGTATACTTAATTTATAGAGAACATCTAACATATATGTTCTGGATACACTAAATATGGATCAACCTAGTTGAAAACAATACCCTTCAAAGAGATACAGAAAAAGATATTTGACTACTTTTCTGTTTTATTTCCACTTAATTAAACCATTCCCATAATTTATTACGTTTCTTTCAGCATAACCTTTTCCATACCATTCAAGTCTGTAATATCTCTACTTTTTCAAGTTTATAGTTTATTTTTATCTCTAAATCATTTCCTTAACTGTTGCTTCACCCAAGTTCATAGCTATACCATCAGTATTGAATGCCTAGTTTCAAAGAAAGCAGAATATAAATCTGTAGACTGAGATAAAAGGTTAAGGTGCCCCTACACCAAAATAAGGAATATATTATGCAAATCTCTACTATAAACAACACATGATATAATAACAAAATACAGCAATGTGAAAAAAATAATCAAGTTTCATAATTTGATCTGTATGTAAATTCACAACTAAGAAAATATATGCAGTGAACTAAAGATGAAAGCCTGAACTATTTTTATCTCTATTAAGTCTTCTTAACTAACAATGTAAACATCTGCAGTGTCTGTTGGCTAATTAATGTTGTTTGCCATTTTTCCACCCCCTCCCCCTTCGCAAAGGCACCATACTGAAACATTTATTTCAAAAGAAATGATAATGCTAATTGAGACACTCCAGGGTAATTGCTGGTGTTGGCTGACTCCCATCCCTCACATTTTATTTAAGGATGCTTTTGCATTCAGCAGTTCTGAAGACCACATTTGCATTCAATGATGCAGTAATAGCCCTAAAAGTATGTTGCTGTTGTTGTTTTTTAAAAAACAAACATTCCTGTAAAATTTTTGAATCTAGTCCTAATTCAGCGGAAGAAACATAATAGATGGAACTAGTATGAACACACACTGAATTACACCAATACATTTCCTCAGTAACGCAATACATTTAAAAATAATATGTGGATGTGCCATCTATTTCCATGCAAGTGTTTTGCCGCGTGCACATTCTCATATAGGCGAGATCATAAAAAAGTTTGAAAATAAAACTATTGTCGAAAATAAAATCACACACTATTGCATGGAAGATCCAAACAAGAAGCTATGGCACAGAAAGGGTTAGTGCTCTAAACTAATTGGGATTTTTTTTTCCCCCAGCAAATTTGGAAATGAACTGAAGCTGCTCCCTGGTGTGAAAGCTGAATCCAGCAGCCACCTGCAGGATCAGCTACCAGCACTGCCAGATGCTACAAAAGCCTTTGATTTCCAGTAGCAATTTCGGCCACATTTAACTCATGTGACATGAACTAAACTGAAATAGCATATTCAATCATTCTTCCCTTCACTTTTTTTTAATCTTTAAATACAAACTCTAGTGTCCTTGCTTTCTATATATGAAACAGCTGCAGAGGAGAGATTCATTCAGACTCACAGCTTGGGCCCGCGTTTTTTTAATGGCTTCCATGATAGCATCCATGTTGAGGTAGCTTTTACTAGTGGGAGCTGGGCCAACACAGACGGCTTCATCGGCCATTTTCACATGGACCTGAAAAGACAAAATGACTACATTTTAATATACATGTGCCAGCCAATGTTTACTTCTATTTCCCTAAGCTATTTATGTTTAAGAAACAAAAGTGGACAAAAATGTCATATGAATACATTGTGTAGATTATATGCACATATAAATCCCAGCACTCAAAATCAGACATACAAGAGAGATAATGAAGACAGGTACACACAGTGCAAATAAGGATATACAACAATAAATTTTACTTTATACTGAAGCACAAACATAAGGACTTTATGCTAAATTCAGTGATATTTAGCGAAGTAATATACACACAAATACAAATCTGAACATAGCACACTGATCATCTATATGTAAATTCAGAGTCTAAAACCATTTTGTTAAATGTAACAGCCTAATATCTTACTACTTAACAACAAACATTCACGGCTAGTTCCATCTAAGCAGGCTCCCCAGGAAGTTGGGGATAATTAGAGTGAATTGAATGAAGGGATGCAGTGGTGTCCCTGCACAGCATCAGGTCAACTCCATGCCCAAATTAAAGCATATGACTAAAGAGTTCAATATCACTACACATGAACCAGAAAATATTGAGATTTTTTAAAAGCAACCTTAGATTCCCAAATCCATTCTGATCCTTTTTCACACAGACTATTGTTAGCTATATTTCCAAGCAAATCTGAGCAATAAGCAACAGCTAAATAAAGTTTCAGAATCAATTTTGAAAATAATGCATGTGCTAAAACAGCTTATTTGTTTTGCATTTTAAAGACACTTGACCTTTTTTTAAAAAAAAATTAGAAAGCATCTGTCATTGTAATAATTAGAAATGGAGAAAAGTCTTCTATTGTTTATATTAAATAAAAAATATTTAAAATATTAGATAATATTCAATGAAGCATTGCAATATAGTTATTTTCATTTTTTTTCATTTATAGCCAGTGACAGAGCTAAATGTAACAGAGGAATGGAAGTTAAAATTACATTTAGCAGGAGGTTCTTTTAATGAATTTAAATTTTGTAATAAGCAAAAACATCCAAAAGTCAGACATCTGGAACTATTAAAGAAGCAAAAGAAAATTTAAAGACTTGACACTAAACCTAGTGTTTATTCTTATCAAAAAATATCTAAATAGCTACTGAACATAAATATAGATTTTGATGTTTATTATGTTCAATAATGCAATATTCAAGTTCCTTAGTAACTCCAATCAGCGATGGACAATGCTACCATTCAAATGTTAATACTGTATATTCTGTGTAAGATTTATAAAATGTTATTGTTTACAAATATATCATTTTTCATTACAATATAAGATACATATGAATCATATAAATATGTATTTTTTAAATTTCTCAGAAATTAGTGTGTATTTTTATTTTTAAAAAACACATCAAGTTTTGTAATGTCTCTCTTCTTAGTCAAAAAGTGGTAAATAATGCTTTAATTTCACTACTCTTTTATATTTTTTAAAAATAGATGTATTCCTAATTATGAAAAAATATTCTAAGAAGCGTGGGAAAGGTATATAACTGCAACATGCATTCCATTTTCCAATTATACAAAAACTTAAAATAATTTTCCCACTTTTTTTTTTTTTAAATGATCCATTGGCAATGAAACCATTCAAAAAGCAACCTAAATGATGTAACATTCAAAGCAGGGTTGTCTACTGCATTCCCTTGTGCCCTTTTTGACTGCTGAAACAATTATTTTATTCTGAAATCAAAAGTGATCCTCTATTCATCTCCATTCTGTTATATTAATTCCAACAAATTGACATTTTTCAGAATCAACTTCTTCCCTTCTATTTCATGTGTACCCATCTACAGTCAGTCCTTCCCTTGCAGAGAGGAGGCGGAGGAAGAGAAAACAAATATTTTGCTAAAATGTTTTTAGAGTTTATTTATATTAGAATTAAAATTTTAAATTCTGCCTTTCCATACTGTGATAGCTTAAAACAAAACAGAATTACTTTAAGCAAAAAAAAAAAAAAATAGAAATGTATATTTTGTAATACAATAATTATGCAAATAGCATTCAAAAAGGATAATAAATTATCAGTAAAGTTATGGGACCAGTAAATAAACAAAGTCATGCAAATGGAGAAATAAACAATATTTTAAAATATTAGATAATATTCAATGAAGCACTTCATTGCAACAGTTACAATATTTTCATTTTTTTTTCATTTATAGTCAATGACAGTAAAATGTAAGGTGATAATGGAAGTTAAATTTATATTTAGCAGAAGTTCTTTTGATGAATTTAAATTTTTAATAAACAACATCCAAATGTCATGCATCTGGAATTTTAAAGAAACAAAAGAAAATTTAAAGACTTGAACACTTTAAACCTAGTGTTTATTTTTATCAAAAGATATTTAAACAGCTACTGAACTTATGGATTTTGATGATACAGTTTATGTTACAGTATTGCAATATTCAAGTTCCTTAGTATGAATAAATAAAAAAATCATGCAAATTTACAAGGTCAAGACACACCTCTCTGTGAAAGCCAGTCCATCCTCTAGTTTCATCCTCCCACTATTTCCTCCCCCATCCCCACTTACTGAGGCAACACAAAAGCCCCTGAAATTGACAACATTCAAACAACATTAAAGCAAAAGAAAAAAACTTTGGGAAGAACCAATACCAGAAAGACTCCAAATAGTCAGGAACAAAAAAAAAAGGCAAAAATAGCATCCTTAACAAACATATTGACAAAACTGGAACAAATATGATTTCTTTCACTTTTATGAGCCATGGTGGCGCAGTAGTTAGAATGCAGTGGTGCAGGCTAATACTGCCAACTGCCAACAGTTCGAACCCAACCGGCTCAAGATTGACTCAGCTTTCCAACCTTCTGAGGTTGGTAAAATGAGGGTGCAGATTGTTGGGGACAATATGCTGACTCTGTAAACTGCTTAGAGAGGGCTCTAAAGCACTATGAAGTGGTATGTAAGTCAAAGTAATATTGCTATTAACTAGTTTTAAACCACAGCCTGATCATAGTTTGTTGAAGTTTATTATTCTTTCCAAGGGAACTCCCAATGCAGAAATCCAATATGGAGGTAACAATTGCTATGACTAAATCAGACAAAAATGAACTAATAGATGAACTGGGATATCAAATTGAGTTAGTTGGAAGCACTCTTGCCTACTACTGTCATCTGTACATCCAAACTGATGTTGTTGCTTTTAAACAATTACAATTCTATCAGGGCCAAATTGAATATGATTTACAAGTTGATCAGACACCTCAAATATAATATTTATTTTTAGATGGATTAAACGCTTAAACTAAACTCCCTAACTCACGCTATCTCTGCACCAGTAGATTATAGAATGAAGACAAAACATTTCTATTTACAGCAACCTCCAATTTTAATCTCAGAAGTCAACACAGAAGTTAGATGAGAGAGAACGTAAATAGAGAAAAGTGATCCAGTGAACTTTTATGATGGAACAGTGGTGTAAACCTAGTTCTCTTCAATCAACAGTCTAACCAGTAAAATACAGAGAATGTTTTAAATTTGACAGCACTAAACAGCAAAAATTATATAAAGGATTTCATAACTCTGGTTTTCTTATTCTTGGGAGTTTAGAATATAATGATAAGAAATCTAAGAGAGAAGAATACAGTTCAATACACACAAATATTTTATTTAAATAATTTTAGATAATAAGGTAAGAATAGGAAGAAATGAATAAAAATACATGATGCAGAAAAAATTCCTTTTCTTGGAAATAGTTGAAAGCATGTCATTTCAACAGCAAAACATTATTTACTTATCTATAATATTTGGAAGTTGCCATAGAAGTTGACAAAATACATAACCAATATAGAATGCAGGATGGAATTTTACCAATGCTCTATTTTTCAGTGGGGAAAATTCCTTTCAATACACTTTAGCATCATTCAAATAAGGCAATTTCTGAGTTTTAATTAATTAAATTTATTTTAATTCATTCAAGTTACTATTCTTAAGAATATACATGGATAAATACAATCCAAGAAATCAACAGATGACATGGCAAATTGATTCAAATCTATATATAAACAACAACAAAAATTATGATTTCATTCCATGGGAATTTCAAATCTAAATGCCTACAAAATTTGCTAAACTTAAAACTCCAAGATGAAGGATTTCAGCCTGAGGGCTTTGAAAAGTTTGTTAATTTTAAATATTTAACTGAATAAAATTTTTACTTTATAATACTAATTTTTAACTATCACTAGTATCATTAATAGAATCCAATGGAAACCAGAAAAATGACAGCATTGTTAACAGTTCTGGTAACTCAATTCAGAGTCCTGGAAAATCAAATTTTAAATGTTATATTAAAAAGTTAAACGTAGCTCCATAGTTCCCAAAGTTTCTTCGATAGAGCGTCTAGGTAGAAACCACTGCGTAATTTACAGATACTTTACAGATTCTCAAAGCAAAAAACCAATCAGAAGAAGACAATAACAAGTCATATCCATCCTGTAGCAAGACTATTAACAGGATGTATTGTTAATTAATTGATGTATGTATTCAACTTCAAAGCATCTTTAGTTTTTAAAGTAAACTCATTCATTATCTTTTGTAATAGTTGAGTAAAATTTTACATTAGCCAGAACTACCTGCCTTTACTATTTTAAATTACCATTTTTACACTTTAATTAGTTGATTTTTTCCCATTTGGTAGATGCTTCTTACATGAATCTAAATACCTAATTAAAAAGAAACCCAACACAAAGATCCTTCAGGAGAAATGAATGCTTGGGTCACCCACTGTTCCAGTTATGCAGAGTAGACTAACCCTTGGGATATTCAGGTCTTAAAGCAATGATTCCGACAACATTGCACCACACAATCAGTCTTCATTGCAACCCATTTTCACTTTTCATTCCTTTGTTCTTTTTCCAACATCAAAGGCATGAGTACTGTATGCATTATTCGATAAGCCTATTTTGAACATCAGCTAAAATCTTTCACAATGGAAACTTCGTCAACCTGGCTGTC